TTTATTATTTTTTTTACATTTTTTATTGAAAGGAAAGTGTAAGAGTCGCTTTTAAAAATTTATGATTAGACTGTAGTAATGAGATCAAAGTGATAGAATTAGAGAACGTACTCCTATGGTCATCATATAATTGATCGCAGTAGCCTTAGCGTAGAGTGCTGTATCGAACATGGGGTTTGACACCTTCGTGATAAGGTACATCCGGAATTTAGGATCATAATCCAGTTCCTTCTCCCCAAGAAGAACGAACATTCGACCACTAACATCTGTAATAACAAAATTTCATCTTCAACATAAAAATTATTTCAGTTATTTAACGGTAAAATTTGAGAGCACTTGTAAGAACTTAATTTGTATATTTTTCGACAGAACATTATCTAAAACAGGATCAACTTCATCAACGTCCAGAAATAAAACTAGAAGACATATTCAATCGCAAGTTCCACTTGTTTCAAGAAATCTGAATCACTGAACGATAAAACTTTCAAATTCTTCTTTTGTTCTTTTTTTTTTATCCAATTCAGAACTTGCTGTTGAGGATCGATGCAAATAGGAAACCTGGATGCTCGGATGGTTAGAATCCCGTTTTGCACGGATAATTCATCCGGTGGAAGGTCTTCAGAAGCCCAGCTGAAAGAAATTTCAATTTTATTCAAATATTTCTATTCGAGTTTTTCACCAATAACAATTACCACCTTGAATAGCTCCGGAATCATGAAAGTAAGAGAAAAATTTGTCCCAAGGAAAGTTGCTCACAATAAAGGGTGCTATCGTATGGTCAACGAGTTTTTCATAGGTGAAGTCGCTGAAGAGATGTGAAAGTCAACCCTGTTTTTTTTTTTAATGATATGCCACGTTTGCTTATTTATTTGCTAATAACAGCCCTTGAGATTAATACAGAAATAACAAAACATCAGTTAAGATCGTAAAAGGTTCAGTACATTACTACTTCTGGCTCAATTTCTCTTTTAACGACGTTAGAATTTATCAAGGTATATGTACCTCTGTGATCTTGACTGACCTTGTGTTACAGATTTTTGTGTTTTTCTTAGTAGCGACTATTAACAAATAAATAAAAAATTACGACATTATCGTTAAAAAAATAGAGATGACCTTCACATCTCTTCAGCAACTCTACTTGCAAAACAATTGTTATAACTATTCGATGGCTTTTTTCATACCAAACAATTTTTATTTTAAAAATTTGTTTCTTACTCTTATGGTTCCGAAAATATTCATGGTGATAATTCTTATTGGTCCACCTTGTACTTACAGTGGATGATTAAATTATTAGAACCACCTGTAAGAAATTGACGGTTTTACAGTATAACGATTAATTTTCAGATGAAAATCTAGTTATACTGAATTCTTATTATTGTTTTTACGAAGTATTGATGTTTACAAATTGCAAATATACACTTGGCAACACTTTAGACAATATTATCTGTCATATGGACGTTATTTCGTATCAGTACTGCAAATCGCCACTTGTTACAGTTTTGTTAGTTTATAGATCGTGAGCATTTTAATTTTTGTTGCCGTATTTTTACTACTTATAATACATAGTAAATTACTTAATATGTATCGTAAAAAGAATGAAGGCTGTAATTGCAGCAAAAGGTAGCGCTACCAAATACTGAATTTACTGTTACTTCTGAACTGTATTTTTTAGAACTATATAAGCTAAGTTTAACTGTTGTTTGAACGATCGTTAATTAAAAATGATCTAGTGTGAAAACCTTGATATTGTGATTTTATTTCTGCACAAACACAAAAAACATATTTTTCGTATTGTGGCTCGAATAATGTGATCACCCACTGTACAATGAAAGAAAGGTAAGTCTTACATGCTAATTTCAACGTCATTGCTCTATTCAGTCTCGATCCTGAATGTGTCTGCAAAAGAGATCTACTTGGTTACAATACTATTCCACCAAACGTCGTACAACATCTGGTTTCTGTACTCGTAAGAAAATGGTCCACAATAAGCAAGAAATCCAGCACTGAGTAAACAGTTGCCAATTATTTTTTCTATCTGTTCATGCAGACTTTCCAATTCTTTCTTCCAACGTTAATTTTCTGAGGATAATCCGTTGATTAATTTATCAGCGGCTATTAATCGTCTCTGAAGGAGGTCTGTCTCCTCTTGTAATTTTTGCTTCTCAGACATAGCGTTCTCACATATTTCACGTTTAACTCTGCTATAGCCTTCTCGATTCTTTCCAATTCTCGCTCTTCCTTTTCTAGAGCCTTTCGAGCTTTCTCCGATTAAGATTCTAAGTCCTTCACTCTCTCTATCTTTGGTTTCACCTGAAACAAGTTTTCGAAAGAGATAAAGTTGAGGCAACAGTTGTTGAATTTTTTAAATCTGTTTCGTTTCTTGAAAGTTAGAATTTTAGGAATTCATTTCGTAGAAGTTAGAATATTAGAAATTCATTGTTGTTGTGGAAACGCGTTTTCTTTTAATATTTACAAGTGCTTCTGTTAAATTTTCTCGGTTGACGTGTCTGTTGTATGTCTCATTTAGAGTATAACAATTCTACGATACTTTATTAAAATATTGTAGTGTAGGAACCGACGGAAAAATGTCGAGGGACCCAACGGGAATCGAACCCGGGGGACCTTCGGCTTAGCAAGTCGAGGCTTTGCGAACTACGTCAACTACTCTCTCTCTATTTTCTTTTGTCGGTTTCCTATTTGGGTATGGAGGCCCCGATATTGCAGTAGTATCGTAATTTTAAGAAAATGTAGTTTTAAGAAAATGTGGCGAACGTAAAAGAGAAAGCGGGCGACGAGAGATGAAAGCCAGACTCAACGGGAAAAACCCCGGTGACGAGAGGCCCACGAAGGGGCTGGTTATAAAGTGTGGCGGGCGAGAGATGAAAAGACATGTTGTTGGAAAAGTCGAGAAGCGTGGGTCAAAGTCACATGTATTATAGTTATCTGTATATTTTTGTTAATAAACATCTGTATATATTTCTAATTCCACAATATTAAACGTCAATTGAAAATACCTCTCTGTAAACAGCACACTAATCCAATACAGCTAGCACAAATTTGTATAATCCATAGCCAGCATTACTGATAGACTGCATCTGATCCAGTTTCGTACTCTTCTTTATATGAGCCTTTATCGCTTGTTGCTGTTTCAGTGTAATCTTATCGCAATTGATCTTATCGCAAATCTTATCTTGCAGTATTCTCAAGAACGTTGGATCGCTCATCATCCCCTTCACACCCTTCCAAGAGATATCTTTAATGCCTCGTAGCATCGCCACGCATTCTGACAGAATTTGCACTGGCTCTGGAGGAGTTGCGAATGATCTGTAATATTTTCACATTTTTTTTTCTGCATTCACAAAAATGAAAGAACAATTTTTCTTGTATTCGAAAATATTTTGGAGCGGAAATGATAACGTTCTTTTTTCACGAAATCTGTTGAGAATTCTCGTAATCCTTTTATCTAAGATTTTCGTATCTATTTTTAGTAAGACGCGTTGGAGGTTTCCGTAAAAAGAAAAAACAAATTCGTTCTTCAGTAAACCTTATCGTATTCAAAAAAATATCCCCAAAAGAAATAATTACAAATTCTTCCTCAACCTCACTCTCGAGTAACAATACCATTCCGCTCCACCCTGTATATTGAACGAAGTTATAGTATATTTAAGTGTCTATAATATTTATTAACCCTTGTACAGAAATCGGGTCAATTTTACCCAAAATCATGTTACAAATTCTTTTTCCTTTGTTATTAAATGCATCATTTGGACTGAAACTTTTTCATATCCTTAAACATCTAATAAGCATTAATAATTTTTACAAAAAAGAAAAAAATTTGTATGGTTTTTTTTTCATGGAAATTAATTATATTATTCATGCTCACTTATGGAATTTATGAGTTCATTTGATTCGATATAGGTGTATGTAGTAAGTATTATACATAGCTTTGGATGCTTCCTCTGTTGCATATTCCTTTCTCACGAACGCTATATGCTCTTTTGTTTTCCGTAATACAGTGTGTTAAGAAATGATAGGTAAATTCTACATGTATTGTCGTAACTTATGAACAAATGTATGAATCGATCTGAAATTTTCAGGATACTAAGTTCTTATATTAATAAAATTCTCTGTTAAATATTATTTAGAAGCATCGGTTCAAAAAAAAAAAAATTAGGAATGATTTTCCGAACGTAGCCAGTTTTTGACCGTTAAGAAATGATAGGTTCTGTTAAGGTTCTGTTACGATACGGACGCGTCTCTGCTATTTTTGAGATTAAGGTTTGAATACGCGTTTAATGTTTCGTTGGCTAGTTATTCCTTATTGCCAGGAGGGCTCCAAACCTCTCATAAAAGCGGAGAATTTGGAGTTTCTTCGTGCATCTCAATAGCAATTGACATTTTTGAGATTAAGGTTTGAATACGCGTTTAATGTTTCGTTGGCTAGTTATTCCTTATTGCCAGGAGGGCTCCAAACCTCTCATAAAAGCGGAGAATTTGGAGTTTCTTCGTGCCTCCCACCCAAATTTCACCCCCGTCAAAGGACCCAAATGGACGGACAAGAACATATAAAAGGACTGAACAGTGACCGACAAAAGGAGTGTGACATTGTTGTAAGAACAAATTGGTGAAATAGAACTCTGAACTCTTGTACGAACGATTACACGAACTTTGAACCTCAGGACATTGGACTCGCACATATTTAACATTTAAGAACTTAGTTATATTGTATTTTTGGTACATAAAAAACTGTGTTGCAAATAAAGAATTAGTTGCTAAATAATCAGGCTTCACGAACATTGTGGGAGCCAACAGGTTCATTTTAAGAAACATATTTACATATCGACATTTAAAATTTTTTATCAAAGCAAGAATGGAAATTAATATTTAATAGGCCTTCCGCCACTTTTAATTAAGAAATTGATCCGTTCTGGCATAGATTTTACAAGATTCATAAGTTGCCGATCCGTAACGCGATTGCAAGCGTTTATAATTGCCGTTTTGAGCTCGTTTATGCTACTGAATTGACGGCAATCCTCGTAAACATCGCATACCAGTTGTCCCCATAAATTCTCTATGGGGTTAAGGTCAGGGGACCTTGATGGCCATATTAATGTTTCTACATTTTTCACATTTAACCACTGCTTAATACTTCTCGAAGCGTGTACTGACGCATTGTCGTGCATAAATTTCAATTTGGCAGATGAAAAACGTTGAATATAAAGCACAAGATGTTCCTCTAAAACAGCTTGATATTTTTTTGAGTCAAGACTCAGACTTCTTGAAGTTTTTTTGTGTGTCGAGGAAGGCTAATGTTGTCCAAACCATTACGGAACCACCACCAAAGTTACGCTTCGAAAAGTAACGCGGTTCTGTACGTAGATCATGCCAATAGTTCGCCAACCCATCTGGCCCGTCTAAGTTAAATTTTTTTTCGTCGGACCAAACGATATGAAAATTCAAAAATAAACTACAATACCGAATGCCACTGATGCCACGTGGTGTCAATTTCGGCGGTCTTCTAGGAGCTTTTTCGCACCATATTCGTTCCCTTTTTTTAGAAATTGATTCACCACATTACAAGATCTACCTATACGACGACCAATTTCACGATTAGACATGCCAGAGTCTTTGTACGCCATTATCTGTCCCTTTTCTTTTTCATTCAGAGCTTTCCCTTTGCCCATTTTTTAGAAAATACTATATAACTTAACACTATAATATCTCAATGTTTTATTCACTGTAGATGCGTAGGAGGATTCGTAGGAGGTTAATCACTGTTTGCTTCGTTTACGATCAGATGTTAAATATAAAATATGAAAATAATGACGGTGTTAAGTGGCAAAGTTCACAGTGAATATATTCCAACGAAAAAAATATTATGATATAGTAAGCTTTTATACATTAATACATCTCTTAACCACCCTCTTAGTAAGTGAACCTATCATTTCTTAACGGTCAAAAACTGGAAAATCGTGGAAAGTTCGGAAAATCATTCCTAATTTTTTTTTTTAACCGATGCTTCTAAATAATATTTAGCAGAGAATTGTATTAATATAAGAGCTTAATATCCTGAAAATTTCAGATCGATTCATACATTTGTTCATGAGTTACAACCATAAGTATAACTGAACCTATCATTTCTTAACACACTGTATACCTATTCTGACAATGAGTTCATTTCGAGTCTTACAAAGACTGGTGAAACACGTTATTAGTAGTTATTGTAATTCGACAAATAACAAAATTTATAGTACGGTGAAGATATTTTTGACGATAACTCATTTAAAAGAAGATTATGTAATAGAAACAGAAATAGGTAAAGAAAGTTCAGATTTCGAAGAAAGTTTAGATAACCTTCCTTTAAATGAACGCATAGAAATTGAACGTAATAATTCTAGATATTATAAACCAAGAGACAACTCTATATTAGGGCGTGCTAGTGCAATATCTCAAAATGGCCGAACGTGAAAAGAAAAGATTGATTGTCTCGTCTAGGATCGACAAGGCTAACGACTATATTTCGTATAATTTCAATATAATATTAAAATTATATTGTACAAATTTCTGAACTGTACACTCAGTTCTGAACTGAGTTTTATTTTTTTATACTCATTTCTTGTAAATATATGATATGGGGTCAAAGACCGAAATTTACTTATTCGTGTAACTTTACAAACTCCGTACAAGGGTGAAATTCTTCAGAAAATTAAGGTTACATTGCACGTTATTCGTTTTAAAATCAGAGTAAATAGAAGAGTAATAAACTTAATTTCAATGATGTCCGCTTTCTCGAGTTCTCCCAGGGCTGCTCTAGCCGCATCGAGCGCAGGCTGTGCTTCTGACAACGCCTTCCTCGCTTCCGTTTGCTCCTTGGTGATGATCTTCCTCTGCACCTCTATCTCTTGCCTCTTCTCCTCGCTTAGCCGCTTCTTCTCCATTGCAATATCCGTGCTTTCCCCAATCGAAGCCAATAATTGCTCGCAGTTTCTTGTCTGATCGGCCACTTTTACTCTTTGCATCGCCAGGATCTTGTTCAGCTCGTTCAACGTAACCGATGCGACGCCTCCACGATCTTCTGCAGACCTTTGAAATTGAACAAAAATATCTTTCTAACTAAAAAATACTTTTTAAATGTTAAATTTACAAGAGGGATATACTTTAAGAACGATTAAAAAAGAAAATGAAAAAAATGCAAAATGAGAGTACTTCGATAAATGAAAATGAGAAATGAGAACATTTTCAGAGTAATTAAAACAAAATTTTGTAATTTAAAATAAACGAGAGTATTTTAAGAGTAACTTAAAGACAAAAAAAAATTGAAATGGAAAAAAGAGTTTACCATACTCTTTAACAGTATATTCGAAAATATTTTGAAAAAGTATAATTTTCATATAGATTTCTGATGATTTTTTTCAAGCACCTCCAGAAAGTCGATCGCATTGCACATTTATGTAATCCTTCGTTTCTACCAGGAGGTTCAGATACGTGTTTATGAAGTCTAAGTAATGTTTAGGCGTGACGTAATTTCTTCTGCGCAATTTTAATTGGAAATCGATCGTGTAGTCCCAGACAGTCTTACGAACGAACACCATATGCTCTACCAGAGCTACTCTGTTAGTCTGTGGCACGTTCGGGTTCTGAAATCAGATCAAGTTCGTATTATACAGTTCACTATAAATGTTTCAAATAATTGCGAATTAAATAAAATTACATCTCTCAGTGTCACGTTAGCTACAGCTACTAAAGCCTGTTCAGGCTATGGGAACATCCAGTCTATAGTGGTGCTGTTCACTAAACCAGGATAACTACGACATCTTGTTCTCAACAAATCCCCCGATGAAATCATGGATAATGTGATTCGTAGAGTTTGTAGGCTAGTCTTCACGAAATAGGTCCACACATTTTTTCTGAAACCCAAGAAGAATATTCTCAACTACTCGAGTTACAGTTTGCGTTCTTCTTTATTTTATTCTTCTTTAACCCTTTAGGCTCTTATACAGGGTGAGTCATGTAAAACAGGCCACCTAATTATCTTCTCTGGCTATGGTGGTAGAAGAAAAATTTTATACGTAATTTAAACGGTATCAAAGAGTAAATAAGATGGAAGAAATGGCAAAAACTGAAAAGAAGTTTCACATTTGATTTTAAATTTTAGAGTCCAAAGTTATTTCAAGGTCTGCTACAACATACAGTAGGAAAATATATAATTCTTCTAAAAAAATATAGGTGATCTTGAAAAGAACAGAAAAAATGGCATTTAAAAAATATTTGTTCTTCCACATTATTCACGTTTTGTAAACCTTTAAATTAGGTATTAAAATTTTCTCGTGGCCCTTATTTTACGTGGCCCATCCTATATATTTCTTATTTTCAAAATAAATTTATATATCAGTTTATTTGTGTATTATCATATTATAGTTTACATATTAATTATTATACAAAATATATAGAAAAATTGGTGAATCTCCTAACGTGATCGCCTATAATTATTTTATTAGCCTCATAATATAGTTCAAAGAAGCCCTTAAGAAGATAATAACATCTTTTTTTAAATTTTTAGTCACCTTTAGTTTTAATAGATCTAAAAATGTTTAAGCCTATCTTTCCATTGTTATATCCGTTAAATAAATAAAGATTTAATTCGTGAACGCATAAAATCACACTGAAAATTTATAATCAAATAAATCATACTTGTTCACCCCGAAACCAGCTTCCATAGTTTGGTTCCTACAATTGTTCATAATTTCGTCCTTGTCCTCATCGGTGAACAACGACGGTACCACTCCTGTCATCAGCATATTGTTGTTACGGATTACGCTTTGTGTCCTTATATGGAGCGGAATTTCGGTTAATTAGATAGGAGGCCTGGAACATTCAACGTATGTGGTTACTACGTCGTTCTCCAATAGGTAGAAGGGTTGAGGACTGTGCGTATCGTAATGTTAGATATACCTCGAGTGGTAAAGGTATATCCTTGTGAGTTTAATTGATTCGTTACTAATGTTACTCAGGACAGGTTTGGTTGAAATGAGCGAGTCTGATTTAACAAAGCTATATATTCTAGTATAAATGCGTACTTACAAGTTGCTTCGGTCCACTGATCGGTTACAATGATAGTTAAATACACCTATCCCCCGATTTACACGGTACTTTATTTACACGATTTCACTTTTACACGGTTTTTAAATTTGCCCCGGCCCGGATCGAGAAGATGCCCTTGCCCGCCGAACAGGACGGACCTGTCCTGCAGATTATTTGGATAGGAGGAAAAGGTGAAAAATAATACTCCTGCAGATTATTTGGATAGGAGGAAAAGGTGAAAAATAATACTCTCCTGCCCCTCGGGAGATGGGAAATTCTCCTGAGGGATAGGAGGGGACGGGGGGAATATTTAAAAACTTTGAATAAGGGATGGGATTTAATTAGGGGGGCCATCACGGAAGGGGGCCGTGGAGATCAGTCGGCCGCCGGCGGTCGCCGGGGATTGAGCTCCTCCGCGGCTCCCCCATAAGCCACCCTTGGAGGGATTTCGGTCCTTTTAAAGCCAATAGTAGTAGACTAACCAAGGGGGGAGTAGTTGCCCCCCGACCGGGGTGCCTGGGTGATGTTAGTACCTGACCTCTGGAAGAACCGCTACCCAGGCACTGCCTGGAGCCTATGACAGGGTTGAAATCGGGTCAGCCGGGCGCAGAGTGTGGAGGATTACCTGGTCAGTATTTCCTCATACCCCGCGCCGTGGGGGGAAAACCGCGGCAACGTCTAGCACGAGGTTTTGGTGAGTCGTCGGATAGGATCCGGCAGCGCCCACTCGATAGGGGTGACGTAAAACCTTTAGCATCAATATGGCGCGCGCCTATCCCGTAACATTTTTTCTTAGAGTCACCAGGTGTCGATAGGGTTGACCACCCGACAAGCCCGCTTCTCGGGCTTCGGCACATTTCACTAGAGTCTACTATTCCGGAGGATAGTACCTCCACTGCGGTGGGGGTCCCATGATGGGCGAATCCGATGGTTATAAATCCCTGCACAATGACTAAAACACAAACACAAAAAGAGAGGGAGGAGGAGAGAGAGACGGAGGACAGCACTGGTGCCTGCACTACCGGTGTCGTCGGCAGAGATGTTCAAGGAGGTGGGAGCGCAGGCGTGTCACACGCCTTCAGCTTGCCGGGAGGTTTCGGACTGTTTGACGATGACGACAACCAGCCATCGTGCAGCGGAGGGAGGCCGGACTTCGAGGAGGAACGACCGGCAAGTAGAAACACCGGCCGAAGGGGCGGATGCCATGCGCCTTCAAGGGAAAGCGTGGCTTCTTCGAGCCGCGAACGGGGTGTCTTCAGCAACTCCAGTGAAGACTCGTACGCGAATACTGGCCCGATGAAGCCTCCGCCCGTCAAGCGTACGAAGAATATGTACCGCGGCGTGAAGAAAAAGGGGAAGAAGCTGGGGAAGCCCTCTACTACCGGGGAATATCGGGACTTGGCCGCGGAAGTGGAGAATTATAATGCGGTCATGGAACGGCAACTGGAGTTGCAGAGACAGTTGGATCTCTTTGACCCCAAATCTTGGATCTCTTCGTCAAGGCGCCAAATCCCTCTGTGAAGTGGATGGTCGTGGCGGAAGAAAAGGCAGAGGAAGCCAAACACCTGCCAACAGCTGAGCTGCAAGTCCAAATGGCTAACGCATGCGAGGGCATCGAAAAGGTGGTGGGAAAGAGGACCAATTTAAAAGAATCATACCAGCAGGTCCTGAGGAATGCCTCGGCCCTGTTCAGGGCGTTCGTTGGAGAGATGGGGGGAGAACTACCTCCACGGCTCCAGCAGCACGCCTGGAAAAGGAGAACGCCGATTTGCGAAAACAGGTCGAGGACTTGACCGCCAAGGTGGAGCGGCTAACCGAGGCCGTAGCTGCTCAGAGGCGTAAGTCCGACGCCTTGAGATCCGCCTCCAAGAAGGCGGAGCCACGCCCACCATCGCCGTCGCCTGGTCCCGTAGAACGGATGACGGCGGCCATGGGAGACATGGCGGTGAGTGACGGAGCGGCTCCAATGGAGTCATAACCTTGGTGGTGGACGCTCAGGAAAAGGACCCCCCCAAGCGGAGGGCGTTGAACCCGTCCCCGGAATGGAGCGAGGAGGAGGCGATACCTCCCCCCTGTACACGAGGAGGCGGCGGTGCCCCCCGTAGTCTAGGAAGACAAGGAGGAGAGGATCCTAAAAATGGTGGCTTCAATAATCGAGAGCAAGATGGAGGCCTTTCGGGGAGAGCTTTTCCCCGGAAGGGCGATAAGAGCCCCCCTGGGTTCAATGACCGGTCCCGGAAAAGAGGACGGAGAAGGAGCAGCCGGCTGCAGGGTCATCAAAATCCAAGGCGGAGGCTGATAAGAAGAAGAAGAAGAAGAAGAAGAAGGAGGGAAAGAAGGAGAAATCGCCCCCCCCCAGGGGGGGCATACCACAAATGCCCAGCGTCTGCTGCGATAAAATGAATGTGGTCGGAAGGAAGGAGGGGAAGACCGCCCCCAAGAGGCAGCCCGCCCTCCAGAGGAAGACGGAGGCACCGCTCAAAGTGCGCCTGGCAAGGGCGCCGAGGACGGCGGCTGTCACTATGAGTATCCCCCCGGAGGTGAATATGTCGTACGCGGACGCGATGAAGAGCGCCCGCGGGAGCGTCAACCTCCGGGAGGTGGGAATAGAAAATCTGAAGCACCGCAGGGATGCGACAGGCAGCATGGTCCTGGATGTGCCGGGACCAGAAAGTGCTGTGAAGGCGAGTTGCTGGCGGAAGTGCTGTTTCACCCCTAAGGGTGAAAATGGTGGAGGTCCTCGAGGGGACGGGTGTGAAAGGGACCAAGAGGGCGGAGATTCGTGTAAGGGGGCTGGACATCTCGACCAGGCTCCAGGAGGTGGCGGAGGCCGTCGCTGCTGCGGGTGGCTGCGAGGTGGGGGAAGTTAAGACCGGAGAAATTCGGTTCCCCCCTACCCGGGGTGCTGCAGCGGTGTGGTTCCAGTGCACCCTCGCAGCCGCTCGCAAACTAGCGGCGGCAAGTAACATTACGGTGGGCTGGTGCCGATGCCGCGTCGAGGCATTGGCGGTCCGCCCACTCCAATGCTACTGGTGTCTGGAGATCGGGCATGTCCGACAGACATGTAATAACCCGGAAGACAGGAGTGGGCGGTGCTACGTATGCGGCAGCACCAACCACCGTGCAAGTCAATACAAGGAGACACTTAAGTGTCCCTTATGCAGTGACCTTGGAAGACCGTCTGGTTACCGTCTGGCGGGCAAGGGATGTGCCCTCAAGAGGAGGGGGCAAAAAGGCTGCAACGCCCCGCCCCCAACCTAACAGACGGCAATGGAGACTGGCGAATCGCTCGAGAAGGAGATGCGCCAGCCCGACCAGAGGTGAGCCCGGAGGGGGCTAAGCCCATTAATGGCGGGTCAACGCCTCCCCCAGGCCAACATAAACCACTCGCGCAGGACTCATGACCTTTTGGATCATACCCTGCGCGAGTGGAAGGTCGTGCTGGCACAGCGACGAGTGTGGCCGAGTGGCCATAGTGTGGAGCGGCACGCCCGACCCCCCTTGCTCTCTCATAGAGTGGGGGGCCGGGTTCGTCGCGACACTGTGGGGGGAGGGGCTGGTGGTGATAGGGTGTTACGCCCCGCCTCTCCTCAGCCTAGCTGAGTTCGAGGAGTATCTGGACGGGGTGCACGCGTGTCTTAGTCGCTGCCTGCCCTGTCCGATATTGGTCCTGGGGGACTTCAATACCCACTCGACGACGTGGGCGTGACCCAGGACTAACGGGCGAGGCGGGGCCGTTGAGGACTGGGCGGTGGAGGCCGAGCTTTTGAACCGGGGCTCCACGCCTACGTGTGTGCGGCAGCAGAGGACATCTATAGTCGACTTAAGTTGGGCGACACCTGCTGCCGTATGGCGTGTGACGGGGTGGTGGGTGGCGGAGGAGGTGGAGTCGCTGAGCGACCACCTCCACATTCTATTGCATGTTTCCACCACCCCGCGAAGACCACACCGTCCCTGCCGCCTGGAAGAACTAACATCACAGTGGGCGCTTAAGCGCCTGGACAAGGACGCCCTGATAGCCGCCATCCGTGTCGTGGCCTGGGTTGCTGATAGCAGATTCGGGCCCGTCGACGCTCGGGAGGGTTCGGAATGGTTCCGGGAGCATATGACGGCGGTGTGTGACGCCGCCATGCCCCGGGTCAAGGCCCTCCCAAGGCGGGCCACTACTGGACGTCGGTACAGATCGCAGACTTGCGAAAAGTCTGCGTGAGGGCCGACGCCGGTACGCCAGAGCCCGCCGAAGAAGGCAGCGCGACGAGGCACGGACAGAAACGCTGTACAAGGATTATCGTGATGCCACGGTGGCCCTGCAGCGGGCCATCAAAGATCCCAAGGCTCAGGCATGGAAAGACCGGTGTGAGTTTTTATTGTGCGGGGAGGTATGCTGTTCCTATGATTATGGTGGGTTTTGCTTTAACTTTTATTGTCGCTTCTATTGGTATGGTGTGCGATTGTGAGGTGTGTTCGGTGTGGAGGTTTTTGTGGGCGAGAATGGGTACTCCTCCACGTTTTTGGATTGTCTGGCCGTTTCTGTATATTTTGTAATTTGGTATATGTAGTCTGTCTGCTTGTTTTAGCCAAGTTTCTGTTATTATTGCTATATCTATTTTTTGGGTTTTAAGGAAAAGTTGCAATTCTTGTATTTTGGTTTTAAGACTAGTGGGGTTAGAAGTATTCTAGTCATTGAGGAACGTAGACACTTATTTGTGGTACAGTTTGTTAACTTGCTTGTTAGGATTTCGAAGGCTATGATCATTGTTTTTATGTTGCACAGTGATTTGATTTGTGAAATTAATTCGAATATTCCATGTATATTTTGATAGTCGCTGTTGTTGTCTGTTGCTTCGAGTGGATTGTGAGGAGTACTTCTTGTTGCGTTTCGTGCTGTTGCTTGTGCATATGTTCTAGTTTGAGGTAAAGATGGGTGGGTTTGTATTCTTGTCGTAAAGGGGTGCGTTTGAATTGTTGATGGGATTGTGTTACGTGCGATCGTCTGAGTTGGTGGTTGGCGAGGATTTATTTGTGTGTATGCTTGTTTGGTCAGGTAAGCCAGGAGTGCGGGACATTGGTTGTAGTTGGCTGGGTGGTCCCCTTTGCAGTTATAGCACGTGGCTGGTGTGTCCCTGGTTTTTTGGCAGTCTTTCGTGAGGTGACTTCCTGTACATTTGACGCAGTTTGGGTTCTTGTTGCAGTTGGACGATGTATAACCGTGTGCTTGACACCGGTAGCAGTGAATAAATGGTTTTTGGAGTCATACTTCTCCCAGTATATCCTGACTCTGAAAAGTGTGCCTGCTTTCCTAACCTGCTGGGGTGATATTCCGGGGGCAAATGTTATTTTGTATACCGGGTGGCTATTTTGTTGGTCTTTTTGAATTTCTATGCATGTTAGTGGGTTTAAGCTATTTAGTTTGAGTTCTTCTGTTATTTCTTTGGGTGTAAATCTTTGGAGTCCTTTCAGGACCATAGCTATGGTTTTTTCTCCTGTTAGGGAGTAAGTGTGATATTGTATAACATGTTGTTCTCTAGGCAGAAGTTTTTGAAGCTGTTATGGTCTTCTAATGTTTGGAATTTTATTTTTGTCTGGTTTCCCAGATATTTTATTGTGAATTTGTCTCGATAAGTGTCTTTTAGGGTAGTTATTAGGGTTTTGTATTCTGTTATTTTTGTATGAATGTGTATTGGTGGAGGGTTGTTGGTTTGTTGCTGTGCTGGGATTTCTGTCGGGTTAGGGTGTTCGAGGTTCGTAAGTCCCATTTGTTTGTTGTTTGGGAACTCTGTGGTTGTTTTGGGGGTTCTTTCCGCGTCTGTCTTTTCTTTCGCGAAACATTTTGGTAAAAGGTGGAATGGGTTGGATGTTGAGACGTTTGGGGTATGTTCGAGTTCCATACCTGATTCCTTTGGTGCTGCTTCCTGTCCTGGTGAATCGCTTAATGATAGGGATCTTTTCCTAATCTTCAGGATGTCGTACGGGCTGGCTGCCTTCCCAGCATGGTGTCTTGCAGTTTTCAGCTTGCTTTTGTTCGGGAGGCTCCTGGAGTTTGGGATGCTTCTTGTTGTCCAAGGTCTGGTGACCTGGTAGTGTTCCGGGCTGCTGTGTGTGTTTTTCCTCTGGTGGTTGTTTGCCTTCCGCTTGCGGCGGTGTGTTTATGTTAGGTTGGGTTTTTGTTCTGTATTTTGAGTGCTGTTCTTGATTTGCGACTTTCGATGCTTACTGTTCCGTGGTCGGGCCCCCGAGCATCAAACATCGTGCCCTTATATACACCAAAAATCGTGGGTTTTTGTGGTGGGGGCCCTAGATTTTCGTGGGAACGGAATGCGTTCGTTAACCCTATCTCGAGGGCCTTCTTGGGGGTGCGCGCTAGGCGGAAGTCTCGGCGCCGCCGTGTCGGCTAGTCTGCGTACGTAACATTGTTCACCAGCTCCAAGAAACTCTCATCAACAATATGAGAAGAAGTGAAGAGAAAAACAATTTTTTCATTGCTCACGCCAACCATATTATAGAAGCTTCATAAAAGAAGCTTCCTTGTAGCCTCTGGTTAAACTTATTTCGAAGGTACGATAGCTAGCTGCGAATGCAACCAGTTTTATCACCGATTTCTTCCCACTTCCACCGATTCCAATCACTAAAACATAGCCTCTGTGCATTCTGAGCGCACGGTGCACTCTAGCCAGGTGCTCGAGTGCGTCGTTGAAGAGCACCATGACGTTGTATACTGAGAACATCGAGATGAATCTTGGGTCCTAACCTTTCAAACGCAGAGTGGCATATTCGTATAATCGACATACTTTATTCATTAAATGGTCATTATATGCAGTTCCAAATACTTTCTCTCGTCGGAACATTGCAGAATTGGTGGTGTGACAAGAGCTTTCTTCAGTTTGTCGAACGCTTGCTGTTGCCTAGCAGTCCATTCCCATGTGGCCTTCTTCTTCGTGAGCATTGTCAGTGGTTGAGCGGTGGCGGCGAAATTCGGTACAAATCGTCTGTACCAAACACAAGTTTGTAAAAAGGAAATTAATTGTTTTAGGTTTATGGGTGCACGCATGTCATGGATGGCCTTGACTTTCTCGGGATCGGGTAAAATGCCTTTGGGTGTTAAAATATGTCCAAGATACTTGATTTCTGGGCAGCAAAAACGACATTTCCGCCGGTTCATACGTAAACCGAATTTGCGTAGTCTGCCGAAAACCGCTTGTAAATCGTCCAAATGTTCTTGAAAATTTGATGATAGTACCAGAAGATCGTCAAGATAGACGGCACATTGCGTGTCCCCAAACCTGCTCTCATCCGGTCCATCAGCCGCTGAAACGTCGCCGGTGCATTCTTCAGTCCAAACGGCATTCGTTTAAAGCGAAATATTCCAAACGGTGTCGTGAAAGCTGTTTTATCCCGGTCCTCTTCTCTCACGCCGATTTGCCAACAGCCAGATTCTAGATCCAACGCTGTCATATACCCCGGTTTCTTCGCTGCATGGAGCAGATCATCGATTCATGGTAACGGATAGGAATCTTTTTCTGCACTAAGCCAACGGGCGTAGCCCATGGTGACTCGCATTCTTCTACAATATTTCCCTGCAACATCTTTTGTATTTCCACCCGGAGCTTGTCTCGTTTCACGGGTGGAAGCCGGTAAGGTGGTACCGCGATTGGAGCATGATCGCCAGTCGCGATCCGGTGAACGGTTTCCTCCGTTGCCTGAAACAAATCAACATTGGCCCGCAGTAATTCGCCCTCCCTTATCTCTTCTATCTCCATGGCCGCAACGTCCAAGCAAATCGATTCATATGACTGTACACACTTCTCGAGTAATTTGTCAAATCCTGGCTATCTCATCGGATGTTCGCTTGATTCCCCTTGCATTACTTCCATGGGTTCTTCTGCGTCGAGGTATGCTTCTAAGTCGGTCGGTCCTGCGTCGCGTATTGGGCTTACTGGAGCTGGTGGTGGTTTCGCGAATTTTTCGATCTTCTTGAAAATTGCCGTGTCGACATCAGGATTTCCTTTCTCCTCCCCCTCGACGAAAGGTACTTCACGTGTGTCTGGTTCGTCGGCGAAATCGTACCGTTTATCGGGCCGGTCGACGAAGTTCCAACTTCGTTGTGGAATATTTAGTACTACGACGGTGTCGTCGATAAAATCCACGCCCAACAGAGTCCGGTTATCCTTGCTTCCTTGAAGGACACTCTCAGTTTGCAGTTTAAGGTGCGGTCTACTACCGAGAGCCCTACCCGCACGCCCCCCCCCCCCTGGGGCGTGGGATTGAGATACACTCAATCAACGCGGTCGTCCGACTAGACCCTCAAAGGGTACAGGTCGTCCGCCTACCCGTTCAGGGCTACTTGTGAGGAGGAATTCCCACGCTACGGGTGGCGCGGAGCGACTTTCCACACTCTACTAATTCTCCAGATTGGTACCGGAATTGTTCCAATTTATTATTACCGGAGTTGAAAAAGGGCCCCTGACCAGCATGCGGCCTAACCACTGCCCCTTCGATTCCGACATCAATTCGGCCAGGCCCCGGCAGTACCACTGTACTTGCGCCCCATCCGTCCCCTGGTCTGTCCGGGGAGGTCGGAATGCCCGCTACAGCCCCGGGCGTGGGCTATACGAGCTGGCCACCCGAGGTACCGTCTACATCATCGGTGGGATGTGCAAGGTGGACACCAACACCACTGCCAGTTGAGGAACCTCCCCCCACTCGGTAATGGTAAATCAGCTCAGGTATCGGGGGATCGCCAAGCCCCTAGGTACCCTTGGGTACTCAGGATGTGAGTGCACGAGGCAGCTGACCACACCTGGGCGCCGTAGAGCATTAATGGGGCGGAGACAGGCCGAATAAATTAATATTTTTAAAACTATTGAGAGTTTGGAGGATGGGGAGGTCAGGGCTTTCGATGCACCGATTACAGCAAGAGCTTTTTTGTATCTATTCGTTATGGCAGGACTCCAATTAAGTTTATAGTCGAAGGTAACTCCTAGGTAGGTGAACCTAGTGGACCAGGGGATGCAATTATTATTTAAGTATAGAGGAGGGGTTCGAGTTTGGATACCTCGCTTTCTGGTAAACAAAATGGTCTGTGTTTTTCCACAATTCTGGGACAGTTTCCAATCCGCGAAAAACTCGAGCAGGAGGGTGAGGTGATTTTGTAACTTAACCACTAAATTTTTGTGGCACTATGAAGACGAATAGATGACCGTATCGTCAGCGTACAGGGCGAGGGAAGTGTTCGTTAAGACAGGAAGATCGTTAATATAAATCAAGGAGAGTAGAGGGCCCAGCACCGAGACTTGAGGAACTCCAGATTTAATATCAAATTTATAAAATTCAGTTTATTGATTTTGTTAAGAGTTGATCTTCGGAATTAAAAGAGTTATTTTTGTGAACGGAATACTGAAATTTTTGAAGTCCCTGTTAAGCTGCGGCATAACAGTACGATTGGTTAGATACCAGTGAATGAGCTTAGTAATTCAAGGATGAAAGTTCAATTTAATTAGTGTATAGATAAGGCCGTTATGCCAAACCGAGTCGACGGCTTTCTGAAGGTCCAGGAGGACCATAGCCGCGAATCGGATTGTGTTCATGTTATTTGCATGATACTGAGCAACCCTGATGAGCTGTTGCACGGTGGAATGGGATCTCCGAAAACCGAACTGGTGATTAATCAGGATGTTGTTCTTACTAATACAGTCGTTCATGATATTGCAAATAATTCTTTCGAGAATCTTAGATAAAACCGGGAGTAAAATAATTGGCCTGTAACTGTCAGGGAGCTTGTGATTTTTGCCAGGTTTTGGAATAGGAACCATTTTGCCACTTTCCATTGAGCAGGAAAGTAGCAATGAATAAGAGCTGCTCTAATAATGTAATAAATTTGGATAAGAATTTTGAAAGAGGCGTGTTTTAGGAGAGAGGGCGAAACCTTACCTCCTCCACACGCCTTGTTGCTTTTGAGTTTTCCCATAAGGTCGGCAATGATCTTGGGGGAGATGTACTTAGGTAAGTCTACAAATCTTGTCGGATTATAAAACTCCCTGTAGTGAAATTTCTCAAGCTTCTGATTGACCATCAGCTGGAGCGGGGAGGTGATTCGATGGGCATGGTCAAAGACACTGCCGAAGTGACTAGCAAGAACCCGAAATTTCTGTGAATTTAGGGATAACAGGTTTCCCTGGTTATCCTGCAGCGGGGGAATAACTGTTTTCTTTTTAGTGATTCTCTTATATAGAGGCCAAAAGGTGTGATCGTTAGGTTTTGCATTCTTAATTTGTTCAGTAATAAATTTGGACTTGAACTGTATAATTTTCTTTTTGATCTGTGCCGTGAGGTCTCTGCAATATAATGAGTAAATAAAATTCCCTATTTTTTGCCACTTCTTCCTTGCGGAGTTGGGAACGGCAGTTAGATTCTTTAATACAGAATCAACTACTATAAATTTATTAGACGTTGGTACCAAGTTGGTAGTCTGAAAGAACGATCTCCGGAGCGACCTGGTGAGAGAGCTGATAGCGAGATCTACGTCTCGTGCAGAAGAGATAGAGTGGGTTATGGGGCGCTTTAGCGTGAGATTGCGGTACGCATTCCAGTCAGTGACCGGGATGGAAGTGGTGGTTTTTGCGTTAGTATTGGAAGTTGGAGAGAGCATTACTGGCAGATGATCGGAACTGAGTTCGTCGAGTGTGGCGCAGGTAAGGTGATGGTTTAAATCAGAAAGAAAGAAGTCAAGAGTGGCTGGTTGGCGGTTTGGGACAAGGTGGGTGTATGCATCAGGAAACAATATGTCACAAGTGACAAGTTCGGAATGCGTTTTAAGTTCATTGCCGTTTATATTGTTATTAAAATTATTCCATAGCTGGTGTTTAGAATTCAAGTCTCCACCGATCAAGAATGGAGAGCGATGGGAGGTGAGTGTATTTAGAATGTCGCTAGTCAGTCTAACAGCAGGAGGGCAGTAGGCGGATACTACTATTAAATTAGAGGGAATTAACCTTATTGCAACGGCCTCACAGCTCCGGTGTATTGCAGTGTGTAGTGAGTGTAGTTCAGATTCTTGTGTATTAATAATGCCACTCCGCCGCGCGGGGTGCCACCAGGCCTATCGCGTCTAATAATGTTAATATCGCGCAGAAATATACTACCGCCCTGCACTAACCAAGTCTCCTGAATTGCGGCCACGACCACGTTGTTGTTAACCATAAAAAATTCGAGTTCAGTAAGTCCTTGAGATAAGGAACAGGCGTTCCAAGTGATGAAGTTTCCCGGTAGGGGGTGAAGAGGATGCTTACCCGAATAGACGCTAGATAGCTTCGAGGATAACTTCGATTTGGTCAATATTGTTTTGACACGCAGCAAATTTAGATTTAAGAGTAAGGACAATAGGCACCGCCTTGGTGCATAACTGAAGCAAGAAGCCCGTAATGTCTTGAGGGAAAAGTGATCGAGCTTGAGCAGCACCCTGGGCCTGCGCATCGGGCGCAGGTGAAGAAAAAGTGAAGAGGAGGGTTCTGTTAGGGGTGGCAGCTTTGAATTTTTTCGGCAATATAAAGTTATTGGACTTACCAATTAACTCAGTTGACTCAGTCAGGGGGGCAGGGGATGGCAGCACAGACGTCATAAAGGCAGCTTGAGAAGGTCTCAGCTGAGGTAGGAGGCTGGTGGTTGTCTCTGGCTCGACGTCCAAGAGATTCAGTCGCCTTTAATTGCA